TGTTAACTCTACTCTTATCGACGGCAAATTGGACAATCCGATAGTTACATGACTGCCAATTGTGGTCAAATGTTTGTTTTTCAATGCACCTCTCAACCAACCAAAAACACATTTAATTTCCTCTATTTTATTTTAACGCCCTCAAATGCAAAGTATTAACAATCACACGAAAGAAAACACCTGTAACCCATGAATATTACCTTGGTAATGTAATCTTACAATGCGTTCAGGAAGAAAATGATCTTGGTGTTACTAAATCCAGCACTCTTTCATGGGACTCGCACGTTATACGCATTGTACTCAAAGCCAATGGAATGCTAGGTCTTTTAAAGAGAACTTGCCCACTTATCACAGACATTAAAGTCAGGCGAACACTTTATCTACCTCTCGTGAAGTCACAGCTCTCTTATGCGACAGTGGTATGGTCTCCTGCTAGTATCAATTTGAGAACGATCTTAGAAAGAGTCCAAAAAAAGGCACCCAACTCGCTGGATATTAAGAACTAGGTTTGGCGAGATGTCCTATAAACAACGACTGCTGACTCTTCGCTTACTACCATTAACTTATGACAGGGAACTCAGAGATCTTACCTTTCTCTATAAATGCATTTCTGGACATACCGACTTAAATACTGATAGGTACGTTACTTTTGTCACACATGGCCGATGTCGCTCTAAGAACCCTACTTTCGTACTAAAACCTGCTTACTGTAAAACTGCAACTTTTCAGTCTTCCTTTTTTAATAGAATTGTTAAACCCTGGAACATTATCTGTAATCTCGCCTCTCATGACAATTTTTCGAGTCTAAGTATTTTTAAAAATTTTCTGAGCGCCACTTATTTTACTTTACTGGACACTACTCATAATATTGACATGCCCTGCACCTGGTTTCTCTCCCGTAACTGCCTTTGCCATCGCTTTTAATTTTTATCTGACTGATTTTATTTGCACTGTACTGTACACTATCTAAAGTTAATCATAGTTAAATTATTTAAATTAAATTTTATTTTATTATTGGTTATATATTTTTTCTTTTTAGATTTCGGGTTGCGCCTCGCATGGGATTTTGTTTCCGTTCGCGCAATCCCATTTGGTCCTTTTTTTTTTTACTATTTCTTTTATTTCTGTATATAACTTATGAGACCAATAAAGTTGATAAACTAAACTAAACTAAACTAAATTAAATAGATCAACCGGAAAGGAGCGAGGGATCATTAACGTTCGGAGGAAAGCGTAACCCAGCATTCGAACAGGACCCCACACAAGAAACAGCCATGGGTGGACTAGGAATGCAATCACAAGGAGGTGACCTATGGAGAGATATCAGAACCAGGAATCTATGAGAGTGGCAATGTTGGTCGTCAGGCTCTATCCTAGCCTCATACGCACAGTAACATTAATGCACTGGTGGTAAATACAAGAATTCGATATCCTTATACGTAAAGTACTGCGTTACTACTGCTAGCAAGGAAAGAAAGAATTACAAAGATCCAGGCCCGTTTTTTCATTAGCTTACAGAGAGATTTAGCACCGCGCAGAACTTTTGTATTCAATTATGTCTTTCTGAATTGGATTGTGTTCTCCTATATTCATGATTATGCTCTCCTGTATTGGATTATGTCCTCCGGCCTACATTGGAAGAGCCGGAGTGCGGTACAAATCGCAGCGGCTGACAGAGCTGGTTGGTGGGGTTGTGTTGAGGCCTTACGTGCCACATGGCATGAAGAAAGTAGGTGAGGGTGAAGGACATTGTATAATGCTTTCCTGTCTTGTCTTATACTATTCTGTGTTGAATTATGGTAAAGTTAATTTGCCTACGTCATATCCTGTATGGCACTTGGACGACTGAGAATGAGTGGGGAATGGGTCTAGTGTGTCAAAATGGCGGACCACGCAGACGATGATAACAGTCCTTCGCCTATCGATCAAGGATTCGAGCTGTTGCGAGATGCGACAGATTTACTTTCCGGTGCTGCAAGCGGTAATAACCAGCCTTCTACAACTATCTCTACTTGTAATGCAAACAAGGCGGAGACAGCAGCCTATTACCCGGAGCTTTCATCTTCCATACTGACCCTCTGAGCCAACCCTGTCCCATATCTTTCTATTTTAAGAACTACCTCCCACTGCGGTTTTCGCGGATGTTTTTATTATAGCCAATCATAAGAGAGCTGTCGTCTCTATTGTGTGATGTCTCTATTGTGTCACTTGCAGGCCGCACGAAATTATTTCAATAATGGCGGAAAGCGCGGAAAGATTAAAGAACCCCCGCAGATATCTCAGTTCTAAAAATAAAAAGATACGGGAAAGGGTTGACTCAAGGGTACAACTGAGATGGAAGCTCCGGTAATGGGCTCCTGGCGGAGAGAATTACCTCAAATCTGCGCACCCTTTTTTCTAGCTACAATGATGGTCATGGTAGTAGCCGTCGTCCAGCGCCATAGAGCAGAAATCAATTTTCTGCTCCTCCAAGAAAGAAAGGGAAGTATGCGCCCATGCTCGGACGAGGACTTTGCTGCAAAATCCGACGAGGAGGCTATTTCATTATTTTCATCGTGTCTGAACAATCAACAAAGCTAGAAAAAAACTGATCCCACCGCTTCAAATATCTTCCTTTTTTTTTCATGGTCCCCCTTTACGCATCGGCGTCGCTCCAATGATCACATGATTATTTAGAAACGTAGGTCGTGTATTGAATTGACTTCCGTTTTTTGCGCACGCGTCCTGACGTGACTATATATATGTTGACTGGTATAGTTTATAACTTGTAGAGGGGTTATTTGCAATTCAAGACCGTGCAGTAAACTTCGCTTGGAGTTAAAGTTTCTTCAGAATTGAGCTTCGAATATAGAGCCGAGTAAGTAGTTTTTATTTTAGAGGTATGATTCAGTCCGCACAAAGATCTGCTCAATGATTATCCGTGGTTTGTTCAAATAGTAAGAGTTCTGCACGCTATGTCCCGCCGATGTATGATCCTTTCGACAGATCTGACTCCTGTCGCTCCTTTAAAAAGGAAAACAGGGTCAGACAATCAATTTTCAATTTCTGTTTTCTTCATTTCATCAAAAATTTAGATAGATTTCGGTAGATTTCGTTTACATCTTCTTGGAGTAAAGCAGTTTTTTCACCTCGGACATTGTAAATGAAGCATTTCTTCATTGCAGCACGAGGTTAAATCCTAGAGTACGATCACGATGTTTTTACTTTAAGGAAAAAAACAATAAGCTCGTATTGAAGCTCACTGAGTCTTCATTTCCGCTGTATTTTCTCAATACAGCTCTTCCCTCGCGTTGAATTATTTCCAGAACATGCCTAATTCTTAATGAGCCACTTTTTCTCTCGGCCATGCTCATATAACATGACATGTGTAGTTTTACTTCAGCTAGCAGCTGCAAAGTAACTGTCCCCGTTAACGTTCAGTGTAGCCAGTTTAATTCAGTTTTAAAGTTTCAAAACTTTCAAGTTTGTTTTACCGTTCCATCCCTATTGGAATAAATCTTTTCAAGCGCAAAATGATCGTAACTTCGACTACGCTTTGAGAAAAGTATGAAAGTGTAGCTCTATTAGGTGACGAAATTAGCTTCGCAGTCAAAATCAACGGGTACTAATAAGCCACCTTTTTCGTTCTAATCACATTTGACGTTATCTTTGATTGAATTAAATAAAAAAATGCACGGCAATATGGAATCCATTTGTTAAAATATACGCACGCCAAACAAACCAGTTGCCAACTGATGGATAGCGTGATGCAATTTACCGAAGCGAGTCCTTTATCAGAAGTCACGCTTAGGTTTGTCTCTGATCACTTCCGTTTTTTCGCACGCAGAAACGAATATCACGTATTGGTTGATCACCAAACTACTCCACTTCCGTTTTTGCGCACGCAGAAATGGAAATCAAATATTTGAACATCAGCCAACTGCCGATGTAGTCATCGTTCCGTCGAGCGACGAGTGAATCCAAAACCAATACAAAGAAGAGGGGTGGGGAGAGGAAGATAGAAATTGTGATCTAAAATTCAAAAACCAAGAAATTTTCTACAATGGGAGCTCTTTCATTTAGAAAGGAAGTTGACTCTCTCGCTCCCTTGATCCAAAGTACGTTATGCTACTTTACGTTTACAGGAAAGTAATTCCTTCGGAAGTCTGGGCTTCGGAGTAATGTCAGCTTAAACCAATAGGACTCTTTTGACATTGTCGTCACCGTAATATTTCTCACCAAAAATTGAATGAAATTGTCCTTGGGGACCAGTCAACATTTATTACGAAGGAGGGGGGAGGGAAGTGGTGCGGGGGATTTTTATTGTGACAATGAAGCACTTACGTGATCCCCACTTAATTTATATGACGTTTTTTTTTTATCCCCTCATACTGGTCTCATCATTTTTCATCAGATTATCAACAGCTCATCCTCTCATCATAAGATATGTATGGCAGAGAGTGAGGGGAATTACTGATGAGATATTGGGAGTGAAAGGGTTCGTACTCACGTCTCTTGAAACTTGTAATGCAAAAAAAAAACAAAACAAAAAAAACAATTTTACAATCATCGTAGCCCTCAATGCTGAGTTAACCGGGAAATTGTTCAGGCGTCCTCACCTCTACCCTCTGTTTTAGTTGCTTTAAAAAGGCGTTTTTAAAACAAACATTGCCTGAAACATGCTGGCAATAGTAGCCAGTTTCAAAGAAAAAGGCGCAGAAGAGTCAAGCTTGGAAGAGGACTCTGCTGACAGATCCGACGAGTAGGCTATTTCATTATTTAAATCGTGTCTACAAAAGAAACTAAGGCAGAAAAACATTGATCCCACCGATTCAAATTTTCTTCTGTTTTCTTTTCATGGTCCCCCCTTGACGCATCGGCGTCACTCCAACACGACGAATGACCACATGTGTGTTTAGAAATGTGGGTCGTGTCTTGAAGCAACTTCCGTTTTTGCGCACGCATCCTGTCGTGACTAGATATAGATGTGTTATGTTAGACTGGTGTAGTTTACAATTTGTCGAGGGGTTATTTGTAGTTCAAGACCGTGCCATAAACTTCGCTTGGAGTTAAGTTTCTCCAGAATCAATCTTTGAATTTAGAGCCAAGTAAGTAGATTTTATTTTAAAAAATTGATTTCGTTCCACGCAAAGATCTGCTCAATGATTATCCTTGGTTTCTTTACCTACAACTTTGAGCTTATGTCGCGTCGATGTACGATTCTTTAGACAGATCTGACTTTTGTCGCTCCTTAAAAAAAGGAAAATTGGGTCACTCAATCTTTTTTCAATTTCTATTTTCTTCATTCATTTTACCAAAATTTCGATTTGTAGATTTCGTTTACGTCTCCTTGAAGTAAAGCCATTTTTTCGCCTCGGATGTTGCGAATGAAGCATTTCTTCATTGAAGCACGAGGTTAATTCTTAGCGTACGATCACGATGTTTTTGTTTTACAGAAGTAACCAGTAAGCTCGTAGTGATGCTCTTAGCGTGCGCGCAATTCATACCTTATTTCTAATGAGCCACCATTTATTTTATGAATCTCCATATTCTCACGGCCATGCTCCTATATGATGACATGAGCACTTTCACTTTCAAATTAAGTTCCCGTCCAGTTCAGCCGTGAGGTTTCGCCCAACAGACAATGAACGGTCCCTACCATAGACTTCTTCATAGAGTTTTCATTAGTTGGGTCACCCGATCAATTTCTGTTTTCTTCGTTTCACCAAAATTTCGATAGATTCGTTTACGTCTCCCTTGAGATTAAACAGTTTTTTTGGCTCAGATGTTGCGAGTGAAGCATTTCCTCATTGAAGCGCGACGTTAATTCTTAGAGTACGATTACAATGCTTTTCCTTTACAGCAGAAAACAGTAAGCTCGCATTGAGGCTTAGTAAGTTTTCATTCCTACTGTATTTTCACAATACTGCTCTTCCCATGTTTTGAACTATTTTCATAGCATACCCAATTCCTGATGAGCCGATATTTATTTTACAAATCTCTATATTCTCACGGCCATGCTCATCTAACATGACATGTGCAGTTTCACTTTAACTAGCAGCTGCAAATTAAGTTCCCTTCCACTTTAGCCGTGAGGTTGCAAAACTTTCAAGTTTGTTTTTCCGTTCCATCTCGATTGGGATAGATCTTTTGAAGCTCAGAATGAAAGCAAATTCACACTTTGAGCAAAGAATGAAGGTGTTGCTCTATCAGGCGACGTAATTAGCTTCGCAGTTAAAATCAGCCAGCACTCCCGAACCACCTTTTTCGGTCTAACCAGATTTGACGTCATCTTTCATTTAATTACTGAAAAGACACACGGCAATATGAAATCTGTTTGTATATACGCACGCCAAACATGAACCAGTTGTCAACTGATGTATAGCGTGATGTAATTTACATAGCAGAGTCCTCTATCAGAAGTCACGCTTAGCTTTGTTTCTGACCACTTCCGTTTCTGCGCACGCAGAGACGGAAATCACGTATTAGTTAATCACCAAACGGATTCACACATTGACTAAACACCAACTGCTTGTCGAAGTAATAGGAAGTTTACAAAAATCACGACAGCAACGGGAACGTCACTAAACAAAAAGGTTTAATGAGCAGAACAGTGGCTGTGCACATGCCGTCGTCGTTCCCTAATCTTCGTTCCGTCACGCGGCGAGTGATCACGTGCTTGTTTTTAATTTAACTCTAACTTCCGTTTGTGATCACGCAGTTAGCCTGCGTCATTTTTCGAAGCGCGTTTAAGGTTATGTTTATGTTCCTCTACGGTTCCTTCCTTCTCCAAAATTTCCAGAGTAGTTCAAAGTCAATTCGAATCGACGCTGGAAAAGAAAATCACTCAACTTCCTTTCCAGAAATTTATGTTGTAGGCTTCCATTCGAGTCTTTGTAAGAGGAAAATTCCCCAGCAACAGACGCCTTATCCATGAATCAGAAAATATACGGCTTATCTACCTACGGATGCACACGCGAACTGTCTAAAACATGGACTAGACTTCTCATAAGACTTTTACAAGATGTGAATGTCTATTCACGCTCTCTTTATGTTAACTACTGAACGAAAACGTTGTGCGTTTACCGAAATTTCTGCATGTCAAAGTGGCTGTGTGTCACTGAACGTACAGCCATTTTCCGAAATAAAAATGACTAATCTCTGGAAATTTATAGCCAATATTAGCCTTCTGCACCCAATAATGACAATCTTGGGGTTTCTCCAAGGCTACTGGTCCTTCAGAATTTTGCTAAGCAAATGAAGGTTTTAAGTACCTCTGGAATCTGTAGAACTCTATCTGTTCTTCGCTTAGCAGAACCACGACTTCTCTGAGGGTTGCAGTGGTAATATTGGCGTTGGTAACCTCATCTGTGGTTGCCAAAAAAAATGAGACTTAAGCATGACTGTCTTATTCAAGAAAGCAGAGTGGTCGTAGCTAGTATCTCCTTTCGCCATATCTAGCTGTTAAACTGTTGTTGCTGTTCCCTCGAGATCACTGTAAATTTGAAGAGCTTGAGCTTTGAATCGATTGGCATGTTAGCGTAATGGGACATTACATTACATGCTCTTTCCAGGCATCTGGTTGAAACAAAATGCTCTCTGCTGTCTGCTCATCTCTCTATTGATCAGGCACGCATACACTCTTTTTTTTTCTAAGAACGTCTAATTTCGGAGCAAGGCTGAACGTTATGTTTTTTGCGATTTGAGGCTGAAAACGAAAATCAGTAAATCAGTGTTAATGTTACACAAAACATGCCCTTAGGTATTTTGGTTAAGTTACATTTGTTACCTTGATTTTATGCTTGTCCTTTAAGATACAGATTAGCTAAATAAAAACGTTCTTAATGGACTCTGCCTGAGGAATGTTCTTAATACGTTCTTAGAATTTTGGTTAATCTAGCTCAGCCACAACGTTCTTTTGAAAAGGATTCTCATAAAAAGAAAAAAAGTTGTATAAAATAGTTTTATGTGAGAGAGTCACCTTGTAGTACCAGCACTGTTGATTTGCTTTGTACCTGGAATTCCTGACAGAATGGCAAAAAATTGCGCATATATATCATGCTCAAATTTAGACAATCCTGCATAATATCTTTGGGCAACAGCCAAATCCTGAATCTAACTAGAAAATTTTTTTGCTTCACTAGAAAACTCCACACAATATTTTTTGTGACATCTTCAAATTAAATACCTAATTAAATATACCCAATACCCAAGAATACCCAATCAGACACTAAGTTGGGTCTGTAATGCAGAAAAAGATGAGGATTTTTGCCTACATTTTGAATAGTGTCTTTTTGAAACAGGTCTACTTGCTGTTTTTGACTTTTTTGACTTTTCTAATTTCTTTAACTTCCTCCTCGGTGTCCTCATGATAGGTTGATACAACAAAATAACAGTTGACTTGTTTTGAAAACAGCCTATTGCATTGTTTTCTTCTCAATGAACAATGTTGCAATAATTCCTTTACCACCACATTAAGTTAGTAAACTTATTTTGTTATTCAACCGATTCTGTGAGAAATATTTTTGAGACATTTAGATTTATGATCAAATAGTAATTTCTAAACAAACTAATTTTGATTTGCTTTTCAGATGTGATTATCAATAACAATGGATGAAAAATTACACTCTGAGAGTGGGAGAGGGATTCATTGTCACAATGTGACAGTCTTGTTATCCAGTAATGTTACCAAGAGAAATGATCAAATATGTATGCCAACCACAATTGATATGGCAAAGCTTAAAAAGAAAGGAAAAGGGCAATTTGTTAACAATGTAGAATTCAATATTAACATGTCAGAAGAAGATGTAAAGAGGAGACTTCTTTCACATTTTCCAAATTTGGAAAATCAAATGTAAGTATATTTTATGTACATGTAATTGTTTAGTATTCCACTTAATTTCAGCATTTTTCCCAAAGAATGCAGCAGTATATACAAATTGGTGATGGTATTACATTGAAAAACAGGGCAAAATTCAGGGATCATGTTTATTGTAGGTGGTCTCAACTAATAAATCGGTTGGTTGACAGTCTGCTGATATATTGAGCAACTGTCAGTTCACAGTTGGCTTATACTCAGTCAAGACTCACTCGATAGTCTGTTGATGTTGATCAAGATGTATGTTGGCCTACATAGAGTTTACTTCACCAATACTTCACCGAATCTTCACCAATACCTTGCTGATGTCTTGCTAACAATTCATTGAGTATGTTACGGTTGCAGTGAAGCTCACATGCTAATATGGAGAGATTCCACTTTGCTGCATGTCAGATTTAGGCGTGAGAAGTTTCCTCAATCAGTGCATTGTGTATGAGACTTCAGGTTACGATACACCTTCCCTGCAGCTTTTGGAATTTGCTTGCCCTTCCAATCTAGCTGAGGCATGCAAAGCAGATATGTAGCCTGTAAATAGGGAGAACAAAAGGTTAAATTGTGGCAAACTGGTTTACTGCCATTCTGTGATGCCTCCACCAGTGGTCCAAACCTGATCCATTCCATTAACTGAAAAGCTGATCATCGCTCTGAAAAGCCATTTCATATGAACACCACGTGACTAATAAGGAGCAATTGTGAGAAAAATTACCCTACCTCTCCTTTGACCTTTAGGACAGTTATTAACTTTCATGCAGCTTCTTCTCTACATCAGTGTCTGATCTGGCCTTATAACATAAACCTCGTTTTGACTTCAAACTTAATTTCCTTGCATAAATTATAATTAGGTGGCAATTGAATTAGATCTATCTTTTAAACATTTGTCCAATCAAAGTAAAGGTACATTAACACTACTCCAAAGCCACTTTTCATGTACACACCAAAAAAGAAGGGAACATTTGTAGAAATTAGCTAGCCCACATGCTTTTAATGGTACATATATCTAGGTGTTGAATTGACCTGCATATGGTAAGGTTGATGATTGAGTGTTACCTCAATTTATTTAAAACTTTCCTTGTGATTAAACACTTCGTTTTTTCTTATTATTGTTTTGTCTCATGAGCATTTTGTTATGCACTTTAAATTCAACTTTGCAATTTGTATATATCACACTGATATCATTAATATCAGACAAATATCAGACTAATATCAACATCAGAACTGGAGATGACAGAAACTGACGAAATTTGTATTTTAAAAATGTTATTTATTTTCTTAAATTTGACCTATCTTCCCTTATCCATATCGCGTTGCTCCTATTATATTTGGCAGTATGTATATATGCTAGACAAGCATTACAATAGTCATTGCAATTTTGGAGCATTAAAGCAGACGTTTGACCTGAATGTGTCTTCCCTGACAGTACTTTTGTTAAAAGTCATTATTGACTAGCTTTTAAATGTTTGTAATCTTGTAACAGCTGTTGTTCATTTGTTTATTAGATTTTTTTGTGCCTCGGCGGTTGACAAAGGCACACCGCTGGAGTTTCATGGGGAAAAATCAGTATGGGATGGGGAGTTCATGAAAAAGACCCTCAAGGGAAATTCAGCTCTTTACATCTTTACTGAGGTTGGTGAAAAAATAATGAGATCAAGTCTTGTGCAAAGAAAATAGAGGACAATAACTGGAAAAACTGATTGATGTCTGGAACTGTGACAAAAATTTCTGTTAGAATTTAGCTGTTTAATTGCCAAGTCTAAATAAAATTTAATTAGGATGTTAACAGCTATACATGTAATTAATAGTGGAGAAACAAACTTATTTATTTGTCTCTCCCACTCTGTAATATCCAACAATGTACATACAGCATAATTAATTTATCCCTTGACTTTCATTGTGTCACCAAGACTTGCTGTATAATGTATGGCAGTTAACATGTTGCTGCAGCAATCAAATGATTTCGACCAAGTACTGGTAGAAAAACAATTTAATTGACAGATTTATTAATTAAATAAGGATTGTTACAGTTTTCAAGAAGCTGCCTCATCTGAGAAGACCCATACTGTGATGCATTTTTTAATACCTGCTGAATGACAGATATTTTGTAATATTTTCAATACTTTTGAAAAGTGAACAGGTGGCAAACATTTTTTCATGTTCACTGCAAAAATATATAAAGGATATTGAACACATGAGTATAGCCTCCATTAATGGTGCCAAAATATTCTTGGATATTTATCTATGGACACCCATATATATCTGTTCCTTAGAGCTCAAAGTTTTCCTTAAGCGTCACTCAGAAATACCTGAGCATATTTTTTGCACCATTGTTCATGCACATAAAAATTTCTACAACTGTTTCTTTACAGATGACAGATTCTGAGTGGTCTGCAAGCACCTTGCCACAAGGACAAAATGTTCATACACAGTCCAGGCATTTTGCAGGTAATTTGTTTATTCAAAAGGTCAGTGTCATCTGAGATCTGCAGTGATTGTATTCTTAGCTGTCTCCAAAGATCATAGAGGCTAACCATTCATATATCCTTTCTAGCAGCATATCTGTTTTAGCCCATCCTCTTTTTAATAGTAAACAAAAGTCATGCAAATTTATCCAGTGTACATGCAGGACTTGATTGCTTAATTGTTACCTGGAAACCATGACAGGAAGATTAAGACGAAAATGACCAAGAAGTATTTGAGATAAGAGCTATATTCAAACTAATTCTTATTTTGCTGTGGAGAGTGAAAAATGTATATGCAAATTACAATCTATGTGTGTGTAAAACCTGCACAGAAGAATTCAGCACGCTTAGATTGTAATTTACTTGACTTCATGGCCAGAAAAATGCATACATGAACCATTGTGTTGACAATTCTGAAAGTTAATTGATGATTGTCTTTACAAACTGACTGGAGGTGCAGGTGGTTTGGGGCCTTTCAGGAGTCAGGAGGTTGAAAATTGAACGATATATTGACAGAGATGAATTCAGTTTTCAAATAATTTAAGT